CCGGTGAGCCGCACACCGTGGAGCTACTGCACCGCGCGTGTCCACCCGCAGCGCAGTGCCAGCAACGGTGCCGTGAGTGCGACATCTGCGTGCATATGACGCAGTGCGACTGTCACGACTCGCGGCTCAGTGTTCTGTCAGTGTGACAGTGCGGCTCGCGCTCGTTTTAGCGTGGTGCTCTGTTGTATATAACCACCTTGATGGAGACCTATGTGCTGCCGCTTGAGTTTCAATCATAGGCGGTCCCAGGGGGGGGCCACGGGGGCCATGGCCCCCCCTTTGGTGCTGAAAGGTGGGGCCATACTATCTTTTGGCCCCACCTTTCAGATCGAACAAAAGTCCTGGAAAGCTTTTTGTATGTTTCATTTTCTTTCTTGCGCCATCAAAGGACGTAAATTTTACTCATGAGTGGGCTCAGCTTCGCATTCTGTCAATTTGGCGGTCAGCGTCGCTGGCACCGGTTCACGAGTAAGGCCGGATCTTATATGGAATATCAGCGTGGGTTTACTTGAGGCTCTCGTAGGCCCAGCAATGGCTGGCATGAGACCCTCTTCGGCCGTGGAGGGTGGGCCCTGCCAAATGAGCGTGGCTCTACGACACTAAAGTAAGACCTCATGGGTTGGTGCGGTGCACCTCAGAAGCCCGGTGGTGACGCCGTATGCCGGCTTGGTCTTAAGGATTAGCGTGGGACCTCCGGGGCCTGCATAGAGTTTGCATGAGCTAGTATGCAATCTCAGAGGCCTGTGTGTAATGTGTACACAGTGGCGGTCGCGTGGGGGGGGGGGACATCAGGGCCATGCCCCCCCAAAGGCCAATAAAGGGGCCACCATATCATGTGCCCCCCCCCCCCCTCAGACAACCGATGGGCCTCCATAGGTGTATGGGGCCCTGGCCCTTATTCGATCGTCACGAGGCTCAAAAACCCACTCCAAGCTATTAATATAGCTCCCACACCGGTCTTTGAGCGTCCTACACTGACCTCTTAGGGAACTTCAGTGGCGGTCAAGCACCCACGTTGGCCGCTAAGAGCCCACATCGACCTCTTAAGCCCCACATCTGGCCTATGAGGGCCCCTAACCGGCCTCAGGGACCCCAACCGGCGTCTGAGCGTCTCACATCGGTCTCTGGTGGCCTTATTTCTGTCTCTGGTGTCCTAAGACGAACCTTTAGGTGCCAATGAGGGCCCCGCACTGGCTGCTAAAGACCCGATGCCGGCCTCTAAGGCCTGCATTGGCCTCTGAGGAGGGCCCATCTTGGCCTTTGAGGGCCCTCTGCTGGCCTCTGGGGTCCAACGACGGCTCATGCCGGTCTTTTGGAGCCCCACGCTGACATCTGAGGGCCCCATGTTGGCCTGTAATGAGTAAGGACCAACATTAGCCTCTGAGAGCCCAATTCGGTCTCTGATGGTCTCAAACTATTGGCCTTTGCAGGTTGCAGGCCCTGTACTGGTTTCTGAGGGCCCCAATCTGGCCTCTAAGTGAAAACATACATGGGTGGGCTTCTGAAGATCAGAGGGCTTACGCAGACTCCTGTACAGCCTTACGTTGGTCCTGATCGAGATCACTTTACGTCCTGATGGTCCCGCGTAGATTCCCTCATATTTCGACATCGGGACCCCATGAGCCGTTGTGGGTCTTGGGGCTGGCAGAGACTGATGAAATCCTCAGGGCTCAGGGCCAGTCTTTTCAGCATGAGGACTAGGCAGGTTGAGTGAGCCCCAATAGAGCCGTTACGAAGCCCGCAGGAGTCGCGCGCGGCCCTCAAATGCCAATTTTGAAAGCCAGGAACCTTTGGTCTCCAGAGGTCGGTGTACCTACTCTCTCCCGCCGCCACACAACTACATACGAGTATATGGGTAAATGTCATAGTCTGAAAATGCTCTCTGGGTTTCACATGCTTGTTCAAAGCAAGAGGTAGGTATCTGTACTTTCCGAATTGTTTTATAGTGGTAAGGTCATAAATCCGCGTGCCCGACCTTCCAGTATATGCTACACCGATCCGTCGCCATGGTGCAGTGGCCCGACCGGTGGAAACACCGTGGGACGGGAAATGGAACTGGATGTTTTGCCTTAAATTGTGCTTAAAGATTCCACGCAAGAATGGCATGGATGAAGCATAATTAGTGCCAACTGCGCGGCGCCTCGTGGACGTAAAAATTAGCCGATCACCCCCCCCCCCCCCCCCCCCTCCTCCGGTGACGGATAAATGTTATGTCCCGCGAGTGTGAGTTTGGCCCCCCCTTTTGCTAGCGGCTGCGACCGCCAGTGGTTTCAATATACAGTTTTATGCATCAAACTAGCGTAAGTAAATGGCTGTCAGAGGTCAATTTGAAGCGCAATTAGTACCCATAACCCAGCTGGGTTGAGCGAGTCATGTGACTAGTCCCGATGAACGTACTGTTTCGATGTCGTCAGTCGTAGACTTTTGTAAACCATTTGTTTCGGAGCTCTGTGTTGTGTTGTTCGGGACCGCAGTTGTTTGAGCAGTTTGCTTTATGCGTCGTACGCTGACAGAACGCTGGTCGTACACAAGTCATGTGTTTCCTTTCGCCCCTAATGTGTTACTGCGGTACCTATGCAGTTGTAATGTGTCTCGAGACACTAACTGGTCGCACTTGGTTGTGAAAATGACACTAGCTGCTCGCACTTGGTTTCAAACTGCGCTTGGAAATCGTGCAATTTTATTTACATTTTGCAATGCAATTTTATTGCCGTTACCGTATTGGTAGATAGTGTCAGAAGTTGGCCATTTGATGCGTTGTCACTTGTCAGACGTTGTTGCCTTAGTACTGACGAATTGATGGGCCGCGTTTGTGTTCCTGTTAAGAAACGGATCTCAATATAAGGTGATTCAGAGGTAGGAACCTGAATGCATTCGTTCAGACTTTTCATTTTATAGGGATGCGCTGCTTCATGAGCAAGAACGAGCATGGCTCTGGTTGAGCGAAGCGCAATCGATATTTGTTATCGTGGTTGTAGACTGTGGCCACATTTACATCACTATTCAACTCCACGCACCAGCATTATTTAAACTGCTTGAACCTATACTTCATTTCGCTAAATTTCGGGGTCGTCAACCTACGGTCCGTGGCCGTTACGTTTGGCCAATAACTAGATTTTGTACATATTAACTGGTTCATATAATCACAGCATGATGCCCCGGACAATTTTTATTTGATTCACTGATAATAAATGTGTCCCAGTACCGCACAAACTGAGACTGAAACTGGACGACACGCTTTTCGAGGTTAAGTTCATTATCTTCAGATGTTATGGTATGGTTCGAAGAAAATGGTCAGCATTAGCAGTGCTAATCGGGTATTATGAGCTTTCAGTTATTTCAATATTTGTTTAGGCTATTATTCTTGTGGTATCTCCTGTCAATTTCACGCGGAACATATATCTTATACAATCGCGGTAACTACATATCTTCTGCCAGTTACTGTTATTATCATTGATTCGTAATATTTCGCTACAAGCGTGGCTCGATTCACATTGTTATTATATTGGCATTCAAGATTTAAGAATAAGAATCTTAATAATTCCATCAAAACGCTAATATGCAAGAGAAAGTTATAAAAATTGCAGCAGTTTTGTGAATCAAAAATAGCTGTAAAATAGGCCTGTATAATTTCAACAACAGTGCGCCGAGAAACGTCTAAAAACGCGCAAACAAAAACTAAGATGTAAAAAAATAACTGCACCCATTAGGACATTCAGGGGAACATTATCAGATCGAGCAGATCGCCCAAATGCCGGTGGCTGCGATGCGATAATTTCTCTGTTTCTGAAGAATTTTCGGGACCCATGCTCTTTTCATACTGGATCGCGTGTGCCTTACAGAAACTGAAAAGTTCTTCCTATATCAAAATATAGAAAAAAAAATTTTGTTATAAAAAGGTTTTATTTTCTTTGCTGATTATTTTGAACATAAAAAATCATAAATCGTTGCAAAAAAAAATAATTTCGTGAAAGTGAACTATTTCCTTTAACGGCGCTCTTTTTTGCGCAAACTCTAGCTCAATTAGGGGCGAAACGGCAAGGGGCTTCCAAGTCTTCATCCCCTCCTCACCCCCCCCCCCCCGGCCGGGGCAAATGTAGGAACTAGGAACCCCACAGGTCCTGCTTGCGCCAGGCTTGCCGCCGGCAGGTCGGTTATATGGCCTTGGGCAGGTCCACAGCCCCCTGGTCCGGTCCGGATTGGGATGATATGGGACGGAGACCCCTTACCCAGCGGCTTGGTCCCTTATAAGCTAGAATTTCGCGAAAAACGCCGTGTTGCCCTTGTATTGACGAGAGGAAGCCGATTGATATATAGTGCTCTATATACCGTGCACCCGACATTAATTAAGGTGACAAGGTCGTAGTAGGTCATTGGTTGACCTTCGAGGCCAGGTCGATGACCTAGAGGCAGGGCTGCGGAGTCGATGGATTTTCGGCGACTCTGACTCCGACTCCGACTCCGGCTTTCAAAAACCAGCTCCGACTCCGACTCCGACTCCGGGCAGAATTGTCGACTCCGACCGACTCCAACTCCCGACTCCGACTCCGCAGGCCTAGCAGGGCTGCGGAGTCGACAGGTGTTCGGTGACTCCGACTCCGACTCCGGCTCGGGTTTCTAAAATCGACTCCGACTCCGACTCCGACTCCGGTCTCCGACCGACTCCGACTCCGACTCCGACTCCGACTCCGACTCCGCAGCCCTGCCTAGAGGTCAGGAAATCGGGAGCTACCTACTAGAATTTCGTAGGTAAATTGAGACAGTTACGGTTTTTCAGGGACCGATCTAAATTACGAATTTTATGTACACTGGTTCACGTAATTTCATATAATGTGTGTATTTAGATTTGAAGATCTCTTGCCTGGTTTTTGCTGTCGAATGTTCACATATTTTTGCTTTTATGTCGAAAATACCCCATTGAATAATTTAGCAGTACCTGATTTGACGCTTTAGTCGCCTTTTGTGTTTTTACGATTGTGGCGCGATGCGTTTTGCGGCGGCGGCGGGGGATGCGCGCGCGTCGTGGTAGTTAATTTCAGTGCAATTTAGCCTGTTTATGTTTAACTAGGTTACTTTACTGGTTAGTTCTGGTAAATTGATATTATATCCTCGAATCGGTTGGTGTTTCTTGCGATGAGCTGAACGTCTCAGCCTCGAAAAGGTAAGCTCTTTTGGGCGGTTGATGACCTGTTGTCCTTGAACACTGAATAACTTTCTCTTGTAGGTTTTAAGCTGTTTTGCATCCAGCCTAAATCATTAATGTCTTTTGAAGCATAGTGAAGCTGTGTGCACGTTTCTGTATGATTTTTCTTAAAACTGTGATTAAGTGATGTGCATTCCCTGATGTGCGTCGTATTTGTCTACGCAGTACTGCTATACCCCTTTCAAGTTTTTTGATTTCTTGTCAAAGAATTGCCATATATTTCCCAGAATGAATGTGTAGCTCAGGATTTGATTTATTTTTTCCATTGGTAATTCAAAGTTTCTTGAACTAATGTCATTGTCAGCCAGCTTTAGTAGGTAATCTACATAGAATGCTGAGCTTCATTGCTTTTAGCTGCACGAAGGCATCGTTAGATATGTGAAAAGGTTACAAGTATGCTTAAAAAAAGAAAAGTAAAGTCAATGTTGTTTTTGTTATGCTTGTATATACTAGTGAAAATGGTGTGCTGTTTTCTGAATGTAACAACCATTTATCATTTCATTTTATTTAGCTGTTAATGCTGTTCTTTGAAGTTAGCCTCAATTTTAACTTATCCTAATAAAGCTATGTCTGTTTTGTTTCTCTTTTTGTTGTTTTGTAGTTTGCAAGTAGCTAGAAATGTGCACTAAATCTTGCATGCTTAAGAAAAACAACATGCACAGCACATATGAATTGTCAAATTCTAACTAGTTTGTCCAACATTTTTTTGGTGCTGATAACCAGGGCTGTGAGTTATCTAATCGCATAGGGCATTGAAAATAATTTGGTAATCCTGTAAATGTGTTTTGAGTTCAGTGTTTTTTTCTAGCAAATTAAACAAAATCATTAACTTTTTAAAAATAACTGGATTTTCAGCTAATTTGTCTAGTTAGCAGCACTTATTAATATTAACCCTTTGGATATGCTTTTCTTACAACTCAATTCTAAAGTGCACCAGTTTTTCTTATACAGCCCTTAGAACCCAAAAATGACTAGGCATACTTCTACTTTTAGACATCAATATTTGATGTTCCTCAAAATAAATGAAAAGGCTCTATTGTGCACCTTAACTCCATTGACTCATATATAAATCCTACATGGGGGTATTTTCAATGGATCGGTTACTCTGTGGAAGTTTCATGAAACTTTTATTAGTCTGTGTACTGTAAAATTCCCTAAATTAAAAATATTTTGGGTCACATAACTTTTTGATGGGTGGGAAAACTACTAGCTGTTATTTACTGGTGCTCTGAATTAGGTAATGTGCTTTGTGCTAGCAGCTACACTTCATACTTTCTTTGTGTCCTCACTATTCCATGTTTAGGTCTGAGACTAACTATCCATAACTATAAGGAGTTCAACTCTGCTATTTCAACATACCTCTCTCATAAAGGCACTGGTTTGCTGCCATTTGCAGCTGCTCATTGTTAAAGGAAAGGGGCCACCTTTAACATGGGGATTGAAAGTGAGATAGCCATCTTGTAGCCCGTGTCCGAAAACCTATCTGTCTACCTCCTTACGGCCGATTTCGGCCTCCATTCGTAGTTATCGGCAATTTCAAAAGAAAATACGCCAGGAATGCGTCCTTATCCCAGGAATGCGTTCTTATCCGACAATACAGCCACCCGCGGCGAGGCTTTGGTTTTTTACCAATCAGCTCCAACCAGCTCAGCTTTAACCAATCAGCTTATCTGACACAATCCGACGAGTCTGTCTTCTGAACGCTGATTGGCTTGAGTGTGACATCATCGCTATGCCATCATACAGTAGGTGCCGTAGAGAGTATCAACATAGCACCAATATGTTAAATAGTTTTACATACTTTTTCGCGAATTGTGCACTTCTGGCACCAGTTTTAAAAAGAAAATGAAAAATAATAATGTCAAAATGAAAAACAACGATATCTTCATATTTCACGAAGGTGGCCCTTTTCCTTTAAGCATTAAATGCTTATATTTCAGCTATGCTGCAGCAGCAGGCCATATTCTCTCTCCTTGCTGACGTTTGCTGTTGTTGTGTGCTTTCAGAGGGGTCCCGCTGCAATGCCTGTGCGCAAGTGTCGCGGCGGCGGCGGCGGCGGCGGCCCTCCGTCCCCTGCGCGGCGCGCCGCCGCCGGCCACCGGCTGCCGGCGCCGCTGCCGGCCGGCCTCACACTGACGGACGTGTCTCAGCAGCGCTGGCGGCTCGGCCGCTCCATCGGCTCCGGCGGCTTCGGCGAGATCTACTCGGCGGCGCGCGACTCGTCCGCAGAGGCCAGCCACGCCATCAAGGTGGAGCCGCACTGGAGCGGGCCGCTCTTCTCCGAGATGCACTGCTACCACCGGGTGGGCCGCGCCGACACGATCGCCGCCTGGCAGCGCGCGCGCCGGCTCCGGCGGCTGGGCATGCCGCGCTTCGTCGGCAGCGGCTCGGTGGAGCACGCCGGCGAGCGGTACCGGTTCATGGTGATGGACCGGTTCGGCTCGGACCTGCAGCGCCTGCTGGACCGGCACGGCGGCCGCTTCCCGTTCGGCACCGCGCTCACCATCGGACTCCAGGTGGTAAGTAGCGCGGGTCGCGGCGGCAGCCGGGAGATAGTGCGTGCTGGACCGATGAGATGTCAGGACAGCATCGTATTGGATAGCGATTTTGATATCTTTGTGAGTTTTCATACCTTTGTGAGTTTTCACACGTATTATATTCGGCTTCAGATAAATCCATCTATTCATCCACCATCCCAGTGGCTGTCCTTGCAGGATAGTCTAGCAGTTCTCGGTTTCCATGGGCACATACTGATCTAAATCCCCATAAACCCTAACAAGTAGGCAGCTCATTGTACCTCGTGAGGATGGTTGTGCTCTAATCACCATTTCATCTGACACAGACTGTGTGCTGTTTCAGCTGGACACATTAGAGTATATTCACAGCCGGGAGTATATCCACGCCGATATTAAAGCTCAGAACCTTCTGCTGGGCTACAAAAGAGGCACCGAAAACCAGGTAAGGTTTTTATTTCCGGGTGTTGGAATTACTTCGTATGCTCGGTTCACTGCTCGTGGCCTCTGGGTGTCTTGACCACGTGTAGGACCACCAGTTTGGACAGTCTAATGTGTCTGTTGTGCTGCTGCTGCTTGGAAGCATCAGTAGCGGCAACCTTCTGTCAAAAGAGAAAATGTAATATTTCGTTGCGCGTCTTACCTTTGAGACCCATCTTATGTGTGTAAATTGATGTGCTGAATGCTGATCGGTGTTTTAAACTGGCGTCACTCGCCTCCGCCGCCGCAGGTCTACCTTGTGGACTTTGGCCTGGCGTGTCGCTACTCCCTGAACGGCCGCCACAAGCCGTACGGCTCCGACCTGCGCAAGGCGCACGACGGTACCATTGAGTTCACCAGCCGGGACGCGCACATCGGGGCGCACTCGCGGCGCGGCGACCTGGAGATCCTGGGCTACAACCTGCTCCAATGGACGGCCGGCCGGCTGCCCTGGCAGCACCTGCTGCATGACGCCGACCTGGTGGCTGCCGAGAAGAACCGCCACATGCGCCACATACCCGGCCTCGTGTACGCCTGCTACGGCGACTCGCCGCCGCCTGAGGCCGGTGAGTGCGGTGCTGAGAGAGTAGGGTCATCGGTGGACGGCCTCGGTTGGATTCTATGTCGCTCACAGTGGCTGGGATGAAGGGGGTCAAGTAGATTTTAGTTTTGCGTTTTGTGGGATAGTGTGAAGAAGAAAGTGTTGCTTGAGTTATGTCGTTGATCATGGTTGATCGACATGGTCGAAGGACGATGGTGTCGAGTCGAGCAGCGCTGGCCGTCTAGGCTTAGCGGCTGCGAGAGGACTTCGGCCGTCCGTCCTGCTCCACCTGATCAGTTTGCAATGCGTAGTGGCCCATTGTTCTAATATCTCCCCTCTCCGTCCACAGAGGTGCTGGCGCAGTACATGCAGATGGTCTCGGTGCTGGGGTTCGACACGGCGCCCGACTACGACGCGCTGCGGGACGTTCTGAGGGCCGGCGCCGGCCCGTCGGGCGCCGGTTGTGCCCGCCTCGAGTTCTCCTGCGCTGCCGCTGCCGCCGCCGCCGCCAAAGCGGTAAGTGGGGCTGTGTGCGGGTCGGTTGTCGCCGCCGCTCGCGCCGCTCCCTCCGCCCTGTCCGTGACCGGTGGCCAGTTGCAGGGACCGGCTGGCCCGCGGTGGAGGAGGCGTGCTGCCGAGAGCGACCCTCGGCCGACCGCCGGGCGCCGCGGCGCGGTGCACGCTGCCGCCACCGGAGACCGAGCTGTGCTGCGAGACCGCCGGCACCCGTGGCGGACCACAAACGGTGGCCGGAGTGGCGGGCGGCGTCACTGCGAGCAGCGCTGGCCGACTCGGTGATCAACTGCGAGAGGACCCCGGCCGCCAGCCGTGCCTCAGCCGACTACCGCTGCCGACGGACGCTTGTAAACCATCTGGCTTTCAGGTTCCAACGGAAGGGGGTTTGCTTTATTTTGTGATATTTCGCTGTGATAGTCTGGTGACTGGGTGAATATGATTGTCACTAACATGTGAGCTCTGAGAATACATGCCGTTTGCGAGGCGTGTCGTTTTGTTGGGGACAGCTGGACCAAGCATGAACGCCGGAGCAGCGGTCAGTGGCTGTAGCTGCCGCCGGGGATACTCAGCACTACCGCCGAGCTGCCAGCGAGACGCGCCGCGCGCCGGTGCGCCGCAGGCAGGGTCTGACCGTCCGGCTCGGTGTGGCGTGTTGCAGGACGCCGCGCCCCGCTCGTGCTCCTGCTGGTGCTGCCGCCGCCGGGCAGCGCCGGTGAGTGCGTCGCCGTCCGCTCGGACCGGCGCCCTGACGGTGAGTGCCGCCCGCCGCGCGCCGCCGCCGCCCCCGCCCGCACGCCGCGCCGCCACCGCCGTGTCTGACCGGTCGCCCCCGCCCCCGCCCTCAGGCCGCCGCCACTGCCAGCCGCCGCCGCCCGCGCTCACGCTCAACGGGCCGCCGCCAGCTGCCGGCCGCCAAACGGCGCCGCACCGGCCCGGCCAGCCGCGCCAGCAGGTCAGTAGAGATGGACGGGGAACGGGGTGCTGCCGGGAAAATAGCCAGGACTCTTCTTTCATAAAATTGTGCATTGTGTCGCTATTATATTCAAATATCAGAGTATTGCTAATCGCTGATTCAAGTGTTCGTTTTCGAATCCCAAGCCATGCAAAAGCCCCCCTTTGTGTCTATTCGCATTCTCCCTTGAGCTGGCCTTTAACCTGCGTGTTTTCCCGATCAGCGGCAGCGGTCAGGAGAACAGTCTGGGCCGCGCGCAGCGGCGGCCGGGCGGGCGGCGCGGCCGGCCCCCGCTCCGGCTGGTCACCGACAATGGCGGCCCGCCACCGCCGCCGCCCCCTCCTCCGCCGCCACCCGACGAGTCGCCGGTGACGACGCCCTCGCTGCGCTCCGACGGCAAACTGCGTGATTTCGACTGGCAGCACTTCAACAAGATGGTGGAGGAGGCGGGCCGTCGCCGCACCGCCGCTCAGGTGGGTGTCTACTTGGTCGGCGGTCACACGTTTAGTGTACCTTGCCGTGCGCCACGTCTTTCTGAATCATGCTTCTATAACGCACGAAGCGTTTGCTGTGCGTGTTTCTGCCGTAGCTTCTGAGTAAAATGATAGCATCCGAAGGTTCGCCGTTGAGGCGTACTTATGCTAGCGCCGGGTTTTTGTTTCACCCTCGGCTCTGCAGTTGGCACGCATCTATGTAGGCCAGGTTGTGATGCCACAGTGCACTGACGCGTGCCAGTCTCGGACCAATCAGTCTGATTTGATACAGTACAACTGGCTTTTTTATTATGTTGCTGTGGGTCGCCTCCAGTCCCTCCATCCCATCCATGAAGAGGGACTGACCTATTTACCCTTACTCCCTTCCTCGTCAGCGGCCGGCCGACGAGGGTGACGGTGCCGGCGGCGACACCTCCCCGGAGCCGGCACCCATCGTCTACGAGAGCCTGACGCCGGCCATGCGAGAGGTGCTGGCCAAGCGGCAGCAGCGCTCCCCGGAGAAGGGCGGCAGGAAACGCAGTAGAACGGTCAGGTGAGCATTTCATTGGTTTGTGTTATCGTCGTGAATTATCTAACGTCGTGAGCTAAGATTTTCAGTGGTTTCACTTGGTAAAAATTGTTCAAAGTATAAATTATGATTTAATTGTTCTGGTGACTGGCGGAGTAAAAATTGTTCCAAGTATAAATTATTGTTGAAGTGTTCTGGTGACTGATTAAGGATCCAGCTGTGCGTTGTTTTGCCGCTGCACAGCGGGAGCAGCAGTACGCTGACGTTCCGCTCCTGTGCCCCGTTGTGTGTTGCAGTCAGAGCTGCCCGGAGTGGACGGGCGTCGGCTCCCCAGTGACGCCTGCCATGGCCGCTGTGATGCTCATCCGCGCCCGTCGGCTGGCGGCGGCGGCCCAGGAGTCGGCCGCCGCGCGCCGGCTCGGCAAGGCGTCCGGTGGCCGCCAGCGGCGCGTGGCCGGTCTGCTGTGCACGCCCGAGCCGCGGCCGACGCTGCGCGCCAGCCGCCGGCTGCGGGCGCTCCAGTGCAGCCCGCGAGCGGTCTGAGCGGCGCAGCGGCGACGGACGGCGGCGCAGAGTCCAGAGATTACAGAGGTTTATCGACTGGCGCCGACAGACAGTGCGACCGAGCTGGCCGCGCGCGGTGGCGGTCCCTCTAGTGTTACAACGCGTCGACGAAGTGTCTATCCGTGATTTAATTGTGCGACTCCTCAAATGTGTCCGGAATTGACGCAGTATCTGCGCGGATAGCGGTGCGCTCCGTGCTGCTGCGGTGACTGGCGAGATGTGCGCTGGGCGGTACAGCGCTTCTGGTCGACGGAGGACCAGCCGCGAGCTGGCAAGAGTCGCGCCACCGCTGGCGTCACAGTCAAAGCGGAATGGCGTTGGTGTGTGCAATTTATGTTGGGGCGGCCGCCATTTCAGTGAGTGGCATCGAACGAAATCATGAACTTACGGCTCAGGAGCTGGTGATTGACGTATTTGCGGCATGCGGCCTGCGCTCGTGCGCCAGTGCCGGCCCATGCCGCAGCCGGAGGAGGCGACTGCCGGTCAGCTCTTCCGTCGCGGCGCGCGGTTTATCGGTTCGTTATAACCGGCGTAATTCCCCGGTTGTTTATTTTTTCAATGGTGCACGTGCGGCCAGAGTGAATCGTGGAGAGCTCCAGAGTTTTCCGGGAGTGCGGATATCCTTCCACTCTCTTCTGTTCTGTGATAGTTTATTTCATAGTTGTGTATAATAAACTTTACTCAAATGAAATAAATGTTCTTTACGACACTGATGCGATGGGATACACGCAGGCTATAAAGCCTCTTCGCAGGGGCGGTCACAGCGCATCCAAGGCGGACTCGCATGGGGGGGGGGGGGCGTTACATCGACGCTTGACCACACCTTACACATGGTATGACACGAATACATAAAATAAGCCATTCCATTGACGGAAAAAAGCATTCGGTTACATTTCTTGAAAGAGACATCGCCGTTTTCACCATTCCGTTGGTTTCACAAGTCCACACGCTGGCGACGAAAGAGCCAGTACTGCGTCTGGGAATGAATAAGGACGAATGTACGCGCATCGCACAGAAAGTTCAACGTGATCACAGACGTCGCCGCTACCTCTGGCCCGTTATTTTCGCCACCATCTGTCCGATACGCTGCTGGCACTGGAGCTCGGAGAGGCCACGCGCCCACTCCGGCATGGCGTCCTCCGGCAGCCGAACCGCCTGCATCGCCCGCCGCACCGCCTCCGTCTGGTCCTCAGACATGTGCCCCGTCCCAGAGGAGCTCTCCTGGTCCCCGGAACGGTCCTTGAGATCGGTGGCATTGCACTCCTTTCTAGCGGAAAGGCGCTTGTGATCGGCAGTAGCGGTGATCTCTTTGGGACCTCCTGCTGCAGCTGTGCGAGCTTGGGTGTCCTGCGAGGGGTCCAGCTTCACCGCAGCTGAACAAGATGTGTGCTCTGACTCTGAGCTTGGTTCAGGGTTGTCATCTGAAGCCTAGTGAAAGGAAACGGTCTTAAAACATTGGACAGCGGATAGCATACATGGCAAAATGGACTGTTAATGAGGTAACATGAGGCAATATATTAATGTGGTTAATGGAATAACAATTACTCTTTCCAGGTGCCCTGTAGGATTAGGCAATTGAACAAGGCAGAAAACAGCTTGTAAATACTTACCTGCTCCTCAGAGTTCTCTTCAGGCCACTGTATTGTCATGAATATTCTGTGGTGCTGGTTGTCATTGTCTACCTCAGAATCATCACTGCTGCTATCCTATGGAGTGTGAAACAAGCAAAGCAGGTTATTTAGGGCAGTCATTCATTGACAGTGCAGGCATATATCTGCATTTTGCCTCACCTATAGCATTATTGACAGTCCAACATCAAACTTTCTCATAAGTTTTTTTAGTTTAATGTTTACCTGGTAGCATCCACATAGCATTCCAATGCAGACTGTATGGCTACGCACAAGCACACCACCGACAAGACAAATCACTTTCACCCAAATATCTGCTTGCCACTTACTGAGGATTCACTACAAGCATCTTGATCATCAACTGGATGAGATGACAGTGGTCGGTATCCATCTAAAGCTGCCTCATCTTGCCTTCTTGTATCTTCATTTTCAAAATCATTTAATTTGTTCTGAGCATGTGGAGGCTCCGGAGGCATAGTTTACAAATTCAAAATATAGCTACCACGGCACCTACTCGATAGCCAATGGGTCATGGAATGGAAGGAATGATGACGTGCTGCTTTGACGATCGGAATGGAAAAGTTTTCAAACTGACATGGACAAAGTGTGATATTCTGCAAGTGCAATAAGTAAATTACAAATGCTCAAACAAAACACCGTAGGCATATAGAAACCTAAGATTCTTACAGATAAACAAGGCCCGCAACGCCCTAAATATAGAAGACTAGCTCAAAACGTGCGTCAGATAATTATAGTTGTTGTACTTGATGCTGTTTTGGGTTAGGCGGTTACAGGCGGTTATGCAGATTATTAGATAGATAGATAGATAAGCTTTATTTCAGACTCTGGGTCCATACTCTACTGATGATTTCAGCCAGTGCAGTGGCAAGACAACCAAATGTCACACAAACAATCATTCGGGCCTGTTTCAGCACTCGCGCAGAGCACAGCACCAGTCTAATTCTAAGTCAATAGGTTTCGCAAATGCTGCCATAGACTTCCGAAACAGGATAGCTACACCACCAGACGGATGACCAGTGCATATACCATCTCTAAAATCTACTGTTGCACAACCAAAACCATAAAATTCTTCATGAAGACTATTCAGGTGACCTAGCTCCTGCTTTGAATACCACGTTTCTTGAACACATGCTATGTCCGCGCACTCTAATACATCAACATCAGGGCGTAACGATAGGCTTTTACTAGTTTTTGGGAGACCTCGAACATTGAAACTAGCCAATCTCATGCGGAAGAGGAGCTTGGGCTGATGGTGGCCCGGTTTTGAGCGTTTGTGATCGGCCCACGCCACCTTCTCACATAGGTGTTCTCGGGCCATAAGTCTGGCTGTATTAGCATGTTTGGCTCCTCGCATCTGCAGCTGACACGAAATGACCTGTAAGTGTCATATCGAGTTTGAACGCTCTCAACTCTAACATCACTATCTGCGCCCAGCTTTCCTATCAGGAAAGTTTTGACCATCTCAGGGGACACAGACGTGTGGAATCTAGACACAAAAATGTGCGCTCTCCTATGGGACCTACTGTCCACTGTTAACAGTCCAGTGTTTTTCGCCGCGCCAGTTACGCTCCCGGAGGATTCGTTGGTTGCCCTCCCCACAGCTGTGGAAGGACTAGCGCTGGGTGACGCTGCAGTCTCATTTTTAGTCACAGGAACCGGTTTTAGCTTACCGTTTACACGTCTCATCGTCAACCAGTCCTCCTCCTCCTCCCGCTTAGCTGTAGATGACACGACATCTGCATATGAAGTAGCTCCCCTTCTCACTTCAGCTTTATCACTAGGAGAACTGTCGTTGGAGCTGTTCGAAGCGTTGCGCGAGTCATGGGCAGCGACCGTTGCTAGCTGACTCTCGGAAACAGCAGCAGCAGCTCTTGCAGTAGCTGTATGCGCTGAAGTGATGTCAGTCGCAGCAGTCGAAATCGAAGAAGTCGAGGTCGAAGTCGTAGCTTCTGAAGTAGAGGCTACTGTGACGACAGGAGCAGACATTGCACCAGCAACGTCATGGTCAGTCACAGCAGTCTTACTCTGGTTGCTCACGATCTGATCAGTCTGGAGCTTGACCTGGCCTATTAGAGGGCCTTGGTGAGATTCGTCAGATTCAACCTTACCTTACCTTACCTTACCTTATCGGTTATCGGGTAATAAGGCCACTAGGCCTGGAGGTCCCGCTCCCATCGAGCGTGTGTGACAGGTAAAGGCGAGGCTCTTAATGGTAGGGATTCGGGATGTCGTACATCTTGTTCGCCCAGTGTCGGTCCAGTCGTGCCTTGAACTGAACAACCGATGTGGCAGACACTACTGTGGACGGCAGGGCGTTCCAGTCGTTGACCACTCTTGTGCTGAGGGCGTTTCTTCGTGTCAGGGTGTTCGCTCTGGGCTTGAGCAGTTTCCACTGGTGGCCTCTTGTTTGGTTGGAGGTGCTCTTGTGCAGGAACCGTTCGGGTTCCACTGCCATCTCGCCGTGCAGCAGCTGAAAGACGGTGATCATATCGCCTCTGCGTCGTCGGTAGTACAGCGAGGGGAGGCGAAGATGACGTAGTCGGTCCGGGTACGGGAGATGCCGGATGCTCAGAACCATCCGGGTTGCCCTGCGCTGCACCCGCTCCAGTTTTGCCTGGTCAACTCTGCCAAAGGGTCCCCAGATCAGGTTCCCATACTCCAGAAAAGGTCGGACCATGGACTTGTAGAGCAGAGGGAGAGTGACCTCATTGATGGTAGCGAAGGAGCGCTTCACGACAGCCAGCATCTGGGAGGCTTTCGCGATGGCAGCCGCTGTTTGCTGGTGAAACTTCAGGTCTTCGTCGATGATGATGCCCAGGTCCTTTTCCTCCGTAACTCCCTCGATGGCAGAGTCGTTCAGTCGGTAGGTTCTCCCAGGGTTGAGTCTGCCAATGTGCATCACTTTGCATTTTGAAGCATTGAAGGGCAGCAGCCACTTGCTCGACCAGCGGACGAGGGCGTCGATGTCGGCTTGGAACTCGGCGGAGTTTCCAGTCACGTGGCGGTACAATTTGGTATCGTCGGCGAAGAGCTTGATGCAGCCGGAGACCTGACCAGGCATGTCATTCACAAATATATTAAACAAGATCGGCCCGAGCACAGATCCCTGGGGGATTCCGCTGGTCACCGGAGTCCAGTCGGACTTCGCACCTCCGACGACCACCCTCTGTCGGCGATCGAGCAGGAAGGCGGCGATCCAAACCAGCAGTTTTCCCCTGATGCCATAGCCATGTAGTTTCGTGATGAGACGTTGGTGCGGGACAGAATCAAAGGCCTTGGAGAAGTCCAGGTATGCGACATCGATCGGTTCCCCGGCCTCCACAGCAGCGCTCCAGTCCTCCATCACCTCAAGCAGCTGGGTCGAGCAGGATCTCTTCGGGAGAAACCCATGTTGTGCCTTGTGGAGGAGCCCTGCATCAGAAAAGTGCTGAAGGAGGCGGTCGCGAATGATGGATTCCATAACTTTCGATGGGACCGAGGTGAGACTGACTGGCCGGTAGCTCTCTGGTCTCTGGCGGTTCCCCTTCTTGTAGATGGGAGTAATCTCACCTGTCTTCCAGTCTGGTGGCAGTATACCAGAGTCAAGAGACTTCCTGAACAGGACACTGAGTGGAAGGCAAACCATCGAGGCAGCTTCGCGAAGTACCCTGGGGTGCACGGCGTCTGGGCCCGGGGCACTGTTAGGCCTTAGAGCGAGCAGTTTTGCCTTTACCTCCTCAGCAGACACTTCAATGTCTTGCAGCATGGGTCCCTGGAAACCTAAGTCAAAGTGAGGGCAGGAATGGTCAACTGGCGTAAATATGCTGCTGAAGTACCTGCTCAGCAGATCCGATTTTTCTTGGTTGTCGGATGTCAGGGTCCCGTTTACGTCCCGGAGTTCCTCGATTCTGCTTCTGGTTTTCAGCCTTGAGTTCGAGTATCTCCAGAACGCTTTTGGGTTTTGCTTCAGCTGTTCAACTAACTTGGTTTCGTATTCTTTTCTGAGATACCTTGTGAACTTTCTGAGCCTGTTTCTGCATCTCGTAAACCTGGCGTAATCCAGGGCGTCGCCGGATTGACGGTATTTGCTCCACAGCTCCCTCTTTTGCTTTCGTAGCTGCATAGCTGTCCTGTTCAAGTACATGTTCTTTTTCTGTCCGTTCTTCCTCCGTTTCGAGCATCGAGCAACAGCAGCTGATAATTGTTCTTTAAAGGTGGCGTAGGATTCTTCCATGTTCATGTTTGCCAGCTGCGACCAGTTGCACTCCTCCAATTCCTTGGGGAGGCTTCCATAGTCGATGACTACATGGTGAGATGCTTGGTTTAAGTTCCTTGGAGAGTAGCATACCAGAGTAAATCTGAGAATGACGTGGTCACTGCTGCTCAGGCCGGGGAGGTATTCCAGGTTGGAGACCATGCCTTCCTCGTTAGTGAAGACCAAGTCGAGGGTGTTTGGGGTCTCGCCTGGTCGGTATCTTGTTGGGCTTAGTACATGTTGGAACAGGAAACATTCATGAACAGTGTTGATAAATGAGTGAGAACCATGAGAGAGAGGGGCGGATGATGTTCCACTGTCCCAGTTTATCTGCGGCAGGTTCAGGTCACCAACAATCAGGAGATGTGTGAATGGCATGGACCTTGATGATGTGCAAATTAACTGTTCAGCTTCTCTGATGCTCTCCTCAGTGTTTCCTGATGGACTCCTGTAAAGGCATCCGATGAGTAAGCAGTCACTGCCAGCAAGTGCCATCTTGATCCACACATGTTCAACGGAGGACTGGTACTGAATTGTGACTTCGGACACCTTGAGGGTCTCAGCTGTGTACACACAGATCCCTCTCATACCACTGGTACCAAGGTTGGGGGAGCATGGGTCAAAGTTCGTGTAAAGTACATAGCCAGCCAGGCTCAGCAGTGCAGGCGACAGTGGAAGCCGCTGAGCTTTTGGAATCACTTCTGTAATGAGGATGATGTCTGGCTCATCTTGGCAGATAAGCATGGCCATGTCATCTCGTTTGCTTACAAATTGGTCTGCGTTGGTATACAATACCTTAAGCCCTTGCGTTACTCCTCCAGCCGCCTCCCCATTTAGTCATTGAGCTGGTTGTTTGCTGTGATACTGTGTTTTCTTGTTTGTCCCTGAGCCAGCAGCGGCTGACTCTGCTGGGTGAGCATCATTCGAAACATTTGTGGCAGATGTCTCTGTGAAAGCAGCAGCAGGCCTCACTGGTCGGGCATGGCTAGAAACATTTGTAGCTGCTGTTACAGGTGTGATGTTTCCTGGCTGTTCCCGACTGGGCGTGCTCTCACTGATATGGTTGTCTGGGGCAGTTGCACAGTCATTGTTGGCCTGCTCCTTGGGTACCACCTTTTCTTGGCCCAGGCTGTGAAACTATAGGCTGTTCAACCATAGATAATAATCGGCACGGTGACTATAAATAATAATCGGATTCAACCTTTATCTTTATATGTTTTAGGGCCTTGAATTCAACCGATTCAACCAATAAGCAAATCAAAAAGGTCCTTCTTATACATCCTTGCTTCAGAACCATCTTCTGACGTTTAGAGGTATTGAGAAACGCTTCCATAGTTTTCTTTTCAAACGTTTTATTTTGATTTGCTCATTTCAATTATACCATATTATATAAAAGTGAACAGAAAACTGAGAAATTTGATGCAAACTGCACGTTATGCTTATCGTAATACCCGACAAAATGAAAAAGAATCATATATTTAATGACGTCATGTTTTAATTTATCTTTTCACCATTATTTTGAAAAGTTTTTAAGAAGAGGCAAAAGCAGCGCATTCTATTTATAACTTATCTGCTGCTCTTTTCATAAACTTTGTCCATCCTACAATTTGATTCGTCCATTATCTGCCTGCTCTACTACAACAAAGGCATTTGAATGCTAATCACTGCTCATCCCAATCTGCGTGGATCTGCAAGCTCAGTGCTCTTAAACGGCATTGGCTCAGTGTAGTAGGTAGGGACTAGAGAGCAAGGCCATCTGCTAGAGAGTGGTGAAGGCAAGGAAATATGGTATCGGTAACCCTGGCGTCACCGGTAGCGTTTTCGTTCAAGGTTAAGGTTTCCTGTATTAGGCAGCATTAGGCCACCGTGCCAAGCCGAAGCATGCTGTGACGTCACTGGGTAAGAGAACGTACCACGCTATCAGTATCGACTGAGACTCAGATAGACTCAGAACGACTCAGGCAGACTCAAACTGACTCATGCAGACTCAAACTGACTCAGACCGACTCAACCGACTCAAATAGATTCCAATCGAGTCAGATCGACTCAGAACGACCCAAACTGACTCAGACCGACTCAACCGACTCAAATCGATTCCGATCGACTCAGACCGACTCAACCGACTCAAATAGATTCCAATCGACTCAGACCGACTCAGAACGACCCAAACTGACTCAGACCGACTCAACCGACCCAAATCGATTCCGATCGACTCAGACCGACTCAGACCGACTCAGAACGACTCAAACTGACTCAGATCGACTCAAATCGATTCCGATCGACTCAGACAGACTCCGAACGACTAAGGCAGACTCAAACCGACTCAGGCAGACTCAAACTGACTCGACCGACTCAGAACTACTCAAACTGACTCAGACCGACTCAAACTGACTCAGACCGACTCAAACTGACTCAGACCGACTCAACCGACTCAAATCGATTCCGATCGGCTCAGAACGACTCAAACTGACTCAACCGACTCAAATCGATTCCGATCGACGCAGACAGACTCAGAACGACTCAGGCAGACTCAAACTGGCTTGACCGACTCAGAACGACTCAAACTGACTCAGACCGACTCAAACTGACTCAAATCGATTCCGATCGACTCAGAACGACTCAGACAGACCCAGAGCGACTCAGGCAGACTCAAGCAGACTCAAACCGACCAAGCCGACTTAAACCGATTCAGATCGACTCAGACAGACTCCGACTCAGTTTGAGTCGTTCTAAGTCTGTCTGAGTCGCTCGGAATCTATTTGAGTCGGTTGAGTCGGTCTGAGTCAGTTTGAGTCGCTCGGAATCGATTTGAGTCGGTTTGAGTCTGCCTGAGTCGTTCTGAGTCTGTCTGAGTCTGCCTGAGTCGTTCTGAGTCTGTCTGAGTCGCGCTCGGAATCGATTTGAGTCGGTTGAGTCGGTTGAGTCGGTCTGAGTCAGTTTTAGTCGTTATGAGTCGGGCTGAATCGAACTGAATCGGTTTGAGTCTGTCGAGTCGGTTTGAATCCGCCTGAGTCTGTCTGAGTCGTTCTGAGTCTTTCTGAGTCGCTCGGAATCGATCTGAATCAGTCTGAGTCTGCCTGAGTTGGTTTGAGTCTGCCTGAGTCTATCTGAATCGGCCCGAGTCTGCCTGAGTCGTTCTGAGTCTGTCTGAGTCGCTCGGAATCAATTTTAGTCGGTTTGAGTCTGCCTGAGTCGTTCTGAGTCTGTCTGAGTCTGCCTGAGTCATTCTGAGTCTGACTGAGACGCTCGGAATCGATTTGAGTCGGTTTGAGTACGCCTGAGTCGTTCTGAGTCGATCGGAATCGATCTGAGTCGGTTGAGTCGGTCTGAGTCAGTTTGAGTCGGTCTGAGTCACTTTGAGTCGTCCTGAGTCGGTCGAGTCAGTTTGAGTCTGCCTGAGTCGGTTTGAGTCTTCCTGAGTCGTTCTGAGTCTGTCTGAGACCTGAGTCGATCAGAATCGATTTGAGTCTGTTGAGTCGGTCTGAGTCAGTTTGGGTCGTTCTGAGTCGGTCTGAGTCGATTGGAATCTATTTGAGTCGGTTGAGTGGGTCTGAGTCAGTTTGAGTCTGCCTGAGTCGTTCTGAGTCTATCTGAGTCTCAGTCGATACTGATAGCGTGGTACGTTCTCTTACCCAGTGACGTCACAGCATGCTTCGGCTTGGCACGGTGGCCTAATGCTGCCTAATACAGGAAACCTTAACCTTGAACGAAAATGCTACCGGTGACGCCAGGGTTACCGATACCGGAAATATAACATAGGTTAAGGTGGGATTTCTATATTGATATCAGTTGATATACTGTGTGAAGGTGGTGCAGAATCGTTGTTTATCCACATCCGCAAAACGGGTAGGTACTTCAGCATTTTATCGATTTTATCTTTCAGTTCTGTAGGTATCTTAAAATGGTGATGAATTTGATGCCGACTCTGTTTGATGTGTGCTTAGAATGTTTCTATCCACTATCTTTGTCGGTTTTAGAAGTTTGCTTTAGCTGATATTGTGTGCATTTGCATTTTGTTATTCTTACAGTGGGTCCGGTACCCAGAGAATGTTGTGGGCCCTATAATCAGTTCAAGTTGGGGAAACTACGAGGCGAATGTCAAAAAATGGATTGGTCAATAAATGGACTTTTGATGACCATATATGGGCATAAATGCAGCCCCCGCTACTAAGGGTAAAAAACGGTATAACAAGTCGGTACTTGCGGTATCGCGTCCACTTATTGGAGAGAAAAGGCTTCCATTTTTCACTAGCAATTGGTGTGATTTGATTAAATTCGGCGAATTGACTCGAAAATGGCGATGGGAAAACGGCTTTTCTGCAGGTTCTGGGCGTCACAATCAGCTGGCCATTCAATAAATGGATTGGTTTTATGAAAGAAAATTGTTGAAAGATTTAATTTAATTACAATAAACAAAAATATTTAATTCTAAAATAATAACTTAACTACAATTAGAAAAACCATAAAGAAAATAATAAAAATAATGACATTTTTAAACCACGGTACTGCTTACATTTTTTGGCGCGTCTGTTTCAATCCGCCATATTTGCCAATCACGGTTTGACCTTGCGTTGTAACTCTGCGATTTAGAGCCGCCAGTTAATTATGCACCGGGTGATTGTAGGTCTTGTGTGGTTAAAAAACATTCTTATGCCTTATTTTTTCATTTGAATGCTAAAATTCATTGAAAAGATGAAGTTGTCTGATTTTATGACCATATATGGTCATCGCCCCGCCCACTCCAGCCGCTGATTGGCTAATCCAATTTTTGTTTGGCTCCTCGTAGTTTCCCCAACTGTAATGCCCCTAACTCTCACAGATATAGGTACTTATGGGAATGGGTTGTTGGGAAATCCAAACACACTGATCTTGAAACAGATACTGAAAGAAATAATTTGAAGAGTTGTTTGTGCATCTTTTTCTGCAGTTATGTAATATGGTTTTCTCCCAACAGATTCCAGGCTGATATGGTGGCCCATTGTCTTCTGCACGCCCTGGGGGCTGCCATCTTCGCTGGCTGCACTTACTACGACACCCATGTGCTGTTCCTCACGGACCCAGACGACCCACACCACCATGTTGTGAAGCAGCTGGCCTTTGAGAGGGACCGGTTGGGTGGACGATGGAAGTATCTGACCATATGGGGCCTGGTGAGTGTTGCAACTGTGTGGTGAGCTAGCAGCTGGTTTTTGGTATGTCAGCATGTATAGCTTACCTAAATTGAATGGGTTCAATCATAGAACAGTGTCTGCTGTTTGTAAATTACACATTTATCCTCTCAAGCTGAATTTCATCATCTTCTTTCCAGACCTGTCAGCTTGTTTATTACTGCTTGGCAGTGGTGAACGATCTCTTTGGCAGCAACACTTTCGACAAGAGCAAGGTCACCAAGCTGCAGAAGATCCGTGACGTCTTCTTCACATCCATTGCTCTTCCCGTGGGAATGGTGAGGACTGGCAGCTCGAGCTATGAAGGTTGTCAGTAGTACTCATTTCTGTTTCAACACAGCTATGTATTATCCTAACCAATTTCTATTATATAATAAAAATGGCTAGGATAATGCTGACAGCAACATGGCTTCAACTTCAAGGATTCCTGAAAAATGCTTTTTATACAGTTAGGCATCTAGACATGTCCCTTGTCTGTGTATTTTGTCGAGAACATTTTAACCGCTCGAGTTTTGTCGCCGGATATTTGGGTTAGATGCCGTCCCGATATTCCCTTGATACCACCATCGACACGGTTCTGTTTCTGCAGCTGGTGAGCATCATGTTCTGGGGCGTGTTTTTCGTGGACCGCGAGCTGGTGTTCCCGGCCATCCTGGACGCGCACTACCCGGCGCTGCTGAACCACGGCGTGCACACCATGCCGCTGCTGATCGGCCTGCTGGAGGTGGCGCTGGAGCGGCACAACTACGCCTGCAACCGGCTCTCGCTCGGCCTGCTGATGGGCTTCCTCGCCACCTACCTCGGATGGTCAGTGCATACTACATACTACATACTACAGACGCTCGGCGATCCGTGTTGGTCGTACTTTTGAAGTATCGGGGCATTTTGAGCTCCAGAGCGGCAATGTAGAATGGAATATAATGGAATATGGTCTGCTATACGATTTAGAGAGATAGGTACTCAGTGGAGCATGCATCACCTGCAAGCATTTCTTGCGCCGTTTATCTTGCATTTGCTGATAACACGGAGCCTCGTGTCAATTGTGTGTCTAGTAATCTGACAGTCACGTCACACATGTAAAATGGTAGGTGAATTGGCATAGTTTCATCTTCCGGTAGAAGGTATCCCCTATTTAAACCTGTCTCTTATGCCGACTGTGTCACTAATTGCCCCCCCCCCCCCTCGCTACCCATATCTGTTTATGGACAGGACGCTGCATTTGGCGCTGGTGGAGAATCTCTGGGTGTACGGCATCCTGCGCGTGCTGAGCTGGCCCATGCGCGTGGCGTTTATGGGTGTGAATCTGCTCATCGGAGTCTGTCTCTTCTTCCTCGGCAAGGGATTCGATAACTTCGTCTGGGGTGAGTTGGCCGACGGCGCGGCTGAATGGTGGGGCGGGGCGATAGCGCCTATCGGGTGAACGGTACCTGATATGCGATACAAATGTATTTGTGGGCCGTGTTCGTTAGCTGAGTGATGACTTGCCTTTTGTGTCGGACGTGATAAAGCTCGGCACGTGTCTATGTGCTCGGGATCATATTGTCACCCTGTCCGCTGATAGCTCGTGGAATAAGCGTGTTCGCAAAGTAAAGTCACTGTACGTCAATAAGATCAACATCAATGTTCACAACAATATGGCTATCGACACTCACGCAATCTTAGCGACTACACAGCACTATAGAGTAAACTGTAAAGTCACGTCGTGTTCTCCCCAGTTTTTCGGTCTCTCCAGAACTAACACGGTAACACTTATTCCCGTCTGTCCCCGCAGGTAACGAGAAGGCGCTGGCGCAGGTCGACTCGACCAAAAAGCGGCGCTGATCTGTCGTTCTCTCTCCGCCTCTGGTCGGTAAGGTCCCTGCCAGCTAATACCGTAAGCCTTCTGCCGGGGCGCCGGAGATAGCCATAGTGAAAGGAACACTCGTCGGTAAATGTGTCGCGTCACCCTTCGGCGTTTTCGCCTGCTCATGCTGAGTTGCGCTGGCTGATGACGAAGCGAAGGTGGAATTATCGTGCTGGTGTCGCACGTCTGTTGCCGAGCACGGCCGGCCGCAGTCTGCACAGTGATTTTGATTTAGCGAGATTATAATTCGATGGTAGCGGATAGATTATTTCACTCAAGGATAAGATCATTGCATGATTATTATGCACCGGCGATACGTGCCGTTTAGGATTGGCGATGTTCTTTGGATAGCTGCAGATGCAACGAGCCCCGATTCATATGGCGTAGCGAAACCACAGTAGCACGCGTTGTGTATGCTGGTGGTGTTGACTCCCTGTCGTTTGGCTACTGTTTCAGTTTGTGCGCGTCATGCAACTGTGGACCTAAGTTTGTTTGTCTATTACGCGTCCGGACGGTATGCCGTCCACTAGTCAGATATACAACGATCAACTTAATTGTTCTACGCACAAGTGATCACAATCACATCGTGATTTATTGTTGCCTGATGAAGTCGATTTGATTTCATAATCGTTACATATTTGATATAGGTGATTGTCGATATTGCACTGGTACAGCAATAAATCCTTAACACATCCAAGCTGGATGATTTTTGAGGGATGCAGGGTGCAGTATAAATCTGCCAGCCGTTTGTGCTCTACTCTCTAAGACACTAAATCGAGCGTGAATCGGCAGCGGAGCCCAGTCCGTCGCTTACGAACCTCGACCTACCAACTTCAACGCAATCTGATCGCGTGCGGGTTAACCATGCGCCTTGTCGTGGCCGATACTAAGCGAGGAAGCGTCTCTGATAGCACATCGCCCTCGTCCAGGGGGCCGGGCTCTGTGACGATATCCTTAGCACGGTACCGGATGTCAGGAGGGTGCCCGAATCTCCCTTAGCACGACACCGGACACGGACGAAATGTGCCGTGACCGGCGGATGGCAGTCAGGCGCCTGGTGTGCGCCCCTGCGGGCAGCAGTTCTCGGAGGGAGCTCAGAGGCAGAGCTGACGCGGTTCGGCAGAGTACTCAGCACCGGGGGCTGCGAGCCCAGCTCTGCCAAACCGCTTCACAGCTGCGCTCTCGGAGAGCTCCAGTGCGGCCTCGCGGTCCCTCCGTGTCTCAGCGGCCGACCTGTCCATCTCGCGTCCAAGGCGCGGAGGTCGGCGCGCGCGCCCGGCGTCGGCCGCTCAGGCTGGCCGGTCGTACAGAGCGCGGCAGCGCGGCCGGCCGGCGTGCCAGCGCCGCCAGGATGGCCGGCGCCGTGCTGCCGGCCTTCTCCAAGCTGAGCGCGCTCCTGCACACGCGCGAGACGGACCACCAGCTGGACACGCTCGTGATGCGCCTGCACCACCGCGCCACCGCCCGGCTCCTGCTGGTCGCTGCCTTTGTCGTGAGCACGCGCAGCCTGGCCGGCGAGCCCATCGAGTGCTCCACGGACGCGCGCGTGCCGCGTCAGCTCATGAACAGCTACTGCTTCGTGACGGCCACGTTCAGCGTCACCGGCGGAAGAGGCGGGGAGGCGCCGGCCGGCCTCGGCGGAGGAGGAGAGGGCACGGTGAGGAAACACTCCTACTACCAGTGGGTGCCGTTCATGTTCTGCCTGCAGGCGCTGGCCTTCTACCTGCCGTACGCGCTGTGGAAGCACAGCACAGGCAGCGTGCTCCGCGACTGCCTGGCCTTTCAGGTAGACCAGCCTGACACGACCATGCATGCTAGTTCCACCAAACTGATGTCGTTCGCCGGCTATCTCTCGGCACGCATGGGCAAGGTCAACCAAAGCATCGTCAAGACGTTCTTTTTCGTCGAGCTCGCGTGTCTACTGAACGTCATCGGTAATCTGTTCCTCATTGACCTGTTTCTGGGTGTGGATTTCGGCCGGTACTGCGTATCCCGCGCAGCCGCCCTGCTCACCGGCACACCGCCCGAGCCCGACCTCGTGTTCCCGCCGCTCGCCAAGTGCACGTTCGCCAAGTTCGGCGCCTCGGGCACCCTGGAGCGGGTGGACGCCGTTTGCGTGCTGCCGCACAACGTGTTCAACGAGAAGCTGTTCGTGTTCGTGTGGGTGTGGACGGCGCTGCTGGCGGCTCTGACGGTCGTGTACGTGCTGTTCCGGGCGGTCACGCTGGCGGTGCCCAAGGTGCGCCGGAACCTGCTGCTGGCGCGGCTGGTGCCCGAGCTGCGCGACCACGGCCGCCAGGTGTTCGAGCAGTGCACAGTGGCCGACTGGTTCCTGCTCTGTCAGATCGGCCGGCACATGGACGCGCTGGCCTTCAGCGAGCTGGTGCGCCACCTGGCCGCCAGTCACCAGGAGCTGCTGCTGCCGGCCATCAGCGTGGCGCTCTCCCGGCGCGCGTCGCAGTGGTCGGACGGCCACCGGCGGTCCACCGACCACCAGACCAAACTAACCGGCTGACCGACCACCAGACCAAGCTGACCGGCCACCGGCGGTCCACCGACCACCAGACCAAACTAACCGGCTGATCTAACCGACCGGCGGTCCACCGACCACCAGACCAAACTGACTGGCTGATCTACCCTAACTGATCGGTCACCGGCGGTCCACCGACCACCAGACCAAGCTGACCGGCTGACCGACCACCAGACCAAGCTGACCGGCTGACCAAGCTGACCGGCCACCGGCGGTCCACCGACCACCAGACCAAACTGACTGGCTGACCGACCATAGTGACCGGTCAGCGGCGCTCTACGTATCATCAGACCAAACTAACCGGGGCCAAACTGAACGTCTGAAGTTCTGAACAGACCGCTCAGCGCTCCACCCACCAAGGGACCAAATTAAACTTCTAGATTTGACTTTGGAGTAGCGGATAGATGAAATGGTGTGGCAGACAAGTGTTCCTGATTTAATTCCCAACACATGACATTAGTGGCGTCATCCGCGTTTCTCGTTCTTCTGTGACAGCATTAGACCCGACCCCGGGAATATAGGAAAAACACATGGCTCGGCTCGGCGGAGAGTAGTCTTATTCAGCGGCAGCTCCATAGGCCGTAGGCGCCTTCGCAGGTCCCTCGACGATAACCGTCAGCGAGAATAAAAACAAGTGTTTGCAGGTACTTCTTGTATTGACCAAAGTTCGAACAGAATGAGTGCAAGGCAATATGAAAGTTAGTAAAAAGCATGTACTGAAGAACTACTTCAGTACATATTCCTCTTATTTACTCTAACTCACGATAGTTTCGAGTGTTCTCTCGTCTTCCTTACCTGTGTGCGAGGGTCCGTTCCGCAGACGCCGTCTCCGGTCCTTCAGATAAGCGTCGAGTGGTGCTCGAAGTCCGGTGCCGCCGACAGCCGCTCGGGCAGAGGTCCTCGCAGGTCACCAGTCCGCATTGAGTGTGATCACTGATCAGCAACGAGTTACCGTGAATGACGAAACCAGTGAGCGACGATAGGCCACATGAGCTTGTAACAATTTAATCTAGTGTGTGGTGTGGCTGATTATGGAAGTGTGGGTGTTGGAAAATGAAGAGTGCGCCCCTCAATTCCTCAACGGTTGCAGAGCCCCAACTTCGATTGAACAATAAATACGAACAAAACAACGACTGAATCGCATCAAGAACTTAGTGGATAGGGACCTACGGCATGAAATCCCCATAAATTGCACGAGACACGCAGTGCTACTGAAAACAAAGCGCACTGGCTTCGGTTTTGATCAAATTAATGGCTCAAATTGATTCCTACCACCTGCAATAACCATCAAACCATTGGTCTTGGAGTTAGTTACCAACTAGAGTTGCAAAATTTCCCTACCGCACTACCGGCATGCCGGTAATTTTTCACTACCGCAGGTTTTTTCGTGGTATCTGGCATGTCTTGCCGGTAGCATGCCGGTATTTTTGATTTTGCACACAAAAAAATTATCAGCATATGATTCAAACTTTGGACACTAAGAGGCTATTGAATTGTAATAACAGCAATCTTAGCCACTGCAAAATACATTTTGTGGTAAAAGTTCCATATGCCGTATTAAAATTACCGCCAAATTACCGGTATGCCGGTAATTTGGCGGTTTTTTTGGCTTGGGGCGTGGTAGCATGCCGGTATCCCAGAAAATTGTTGTGGGGCGGGGCGGTGCCGGTAGCAGCCCATTGGGAAAACTTTGCAACTCTATTACCAACCCCTGAAAGATGCATAAATTCATTACATTGCTTATCGGTAGTTTTAGTCGGGAACGGTGTTCCCACTTATCCAGATCCTTTGCGCCTGTTTTGGTATGGCTTGCACCACTCGGCACTCACCAGTGCTGGGAAAATCTTTCGAAACAAGCGTCTTCACCACTAGGCCAGACGGTCAGCTGCTGGGAAAACGATCCCCTCTCCAAATAGATAACGTATCACCAGCGGCCCTTAAGTTTCCCAGAAGTCTTACTGTCTTGCCTGGAAACGTGTGCGTGTGATCGCGAGAAGATTTCGTCATGTGATCCGTGGTCATACGGAGCAATGGAGTAGATATCCGGAACCGGTCGCCAGTGGTGCCACCTGCCTACAAGAAGTGCGCTCGGAGCGCCACCTACAACCATCCGCCATCGGCAGCCGGCTGCCACATCTCCAGTTTCAACAGTGACACACCGCGGTCCCCTCCTCTAGTCGCCTCTGAAGGCGGAGAGGAGGGACACCGCGGCTGTCCGGCCGCGCTCAGCACCGCAGCCCCCGCATCGGCCGACAGCCGCGACCGGCAGGACACGAGGCTAGCCGCTGCTCAGCATGGATATGATAGTACTTGTTGGTGCCCATTAGCGAACCAACAAACAGAACGTTTTGGTATTCCCTCTTGACGATTTAAAAGGTAGATTTTGGAATAATAAACACACTTTGGGAATATAAAGAAAACAATTACTTCACACAAATTTGAAAGAGAGCATCGCGCACCTCGGTAAACGATAAAATAATTGACGTTTTATGGAAAGTTACGCCAGCTAACCATAGTTTGCTGGCGCCCTGCTGAGCGGCGGCGGTGACCTCTAGCCGTACCCTGCGGCCGTGACCGTCGGTGACCGATCCGGGGCCGGCGGGCCGTCAGCGCGCGGCCGGACAGTGCTCGGGAACATGGCGTCTGCGACTTCCGTTCCGTCCTCACACTGACACACGCCGGCGCTCGCCTCAGATCGTGTATTGTACGTCACGCATCACTTGTCCTCGGGCTGCTTGTAGACGAGCGTGGTGTAGCACTTGCCGCAGTACTGGCGGTCGTGCATGGAGGCCATGAAGACGCCGGCGCCGCACGTCTCGGACGGACACTCACGGCGCAGGCGGGCGATCTTGCCGTTCTCGTCCACCTGGAGCGAGAAAAAGGTTAACGTCAGCGGTCGGAGACAATCTAATTTTCCTATCCGATTTCATACTGAATGTTTCCCACTCTTTTTGCCGAAAGAATCCGCTAGTGTAAAGAATGTCTTTATCGGTGTTAACACAGCTTTACCAGCAAGAAACGCAGCTTGATACCCATTCATAAAATTTCTGAGGCGGAAAACGACTACGGTAAGCATCAAGCTACGATAAAAATGCAACCCTGGAAATTGACACAGCGCTTCCTATACGAACCTTGTAGTACTTCAGCACGGCCAGCTTGACCTTCTTATGCTTGTGCTTGATCTTCTTGGGGGTGGTGTAGTTCTTCTTCTTGCGCTTCTTGCCACCACCGAGCAGCCTCAGCGAGAGGTAGAGGGTCGACTCCTTTTGGACGTCGTAGTCGGCCAGGGTGCAGTCATCCTCCAGCTGGTGGCCTGGGTGGGCGCAGCGGACCGGAGTCAGTCGAAGGGCGGAGCGGAGTGCGGTAGCGGCCGGGCAAGGAGTGATGTCAAATTAAAAAAAAAAGAGTGACATGAGAACTATTGTTCGACAAGATGTATAAGATAGATGCATTTTCTAAAAAAATAAACAATAACCCCCACCCCATCCCCTCTTTTCCATCGACGGGGATCGCGGCAACGAGTTGGGATCCCTCCTCCTTTACAAATACAGCGTCCAGGGGCGCCCAGCTAGTAAACCAGTGTTTGGCGACAGCTGGCGCCTTCGAGCTCTCGGTGCCAGATCGTGCACTCACCGGCGTAGGAGAGCAGCTGGTCCTCGGCGGGGATGTTCTCCCTCGCCTCCAGCAGCTGCTTCACCGACAGCACCGACGCCGACGCGTCGAGCTCGAGCGTCGACGTCGCATTGTCTAGGTTCTGCACGAATATCTGCATCTTCGGTCTGAAACGGGACGACCAACACCAGTGAGCCCTGGAATCACAGCTGAATGCGACGTTTTACTAAGATTTACTAGCGAACACCAGTATGCGATTTGATTTAGCCTGTTCCATTCCGTAACCAGCTAAATGCGTTCTGTCAGTTCATGCAATATGCACTTGTACCAGCACAAAATTCGTGCCATAATTCATTGAGGTGAGTGTGCAGTGTAATTACGTGGATCAAAACGGACGTTTCGCCGATTCTACAGGAGGCGAAGCATTTCATTCGCAAGATTCTGGTGATTGTGACATGGCGAGTTTCTTAGCAAGGCAAACTTTCTTGCTAGGAATTATTGTCGTCATTAATCTTGAGCACTTTGGCTGTTACAGAAGTGATGGCAACCCCTCTACATTTGTCCACAACCCAAATAGCCCCAGATATATTATATCCATTTATTTCAGATGTGCATGATGGCTCACATCAAAAGAACCCTTCAGCTGATGTTATCAGGTACACAACCAGTCACAATAGGTGAACGCCGATTGGGCCAAACCAGCAGCCCCAGTGCAGCAGGACGCTGCTGACGAGCGTCAACCACTGACATGCTGTCAAGATCGCGAAGCTTAGAGATCTTGAATCCATCAACAGCGCGTGACTGTGACTACGCCGTGACGTAAGACGATGAGCGAGAATGGTGGAAAGACGGCCACCGGACCGGACCGACGGGAAAGAACACCAGCGATCCGGGGCGTTCCAGTTCGATAATGTATATTTAGCTGACGACACATGACATCGGACACGATCACACGAGCAGCACGGCGTTGATGCAGCCGTCGTTCTCGGGGTTGTTGGTCACCTGGGCATACTTGCCCCAGACCACCTTGCCGCCCTGCGTCACCAGACCGAGCTCTGAGATGTTGACCTCGATCACGGTGCCCTTGGTGATGACGCCCAGGCCCGTGTACATGACACTGCTCGGGTTCTTCTTCACGCCGATGATGGGCAGACAGAAGGTGGCCTTCAGCTCCGGGTGCGTCACGTGCGCCTTCTTGAAGCGCAGCGCCATCGGCCGGATGAAGCGCTCGAACTTGGGCGGCTTCCGCGTGAATCCCTCACCGACGAACGTCACCTTGGTCACCATCCGCTTCCACGCCTTGTTCTTCCGCTTGCCCGTCTTGATGACCTTGAACACCTCCGCCTCGGACTGTGCCTTCACCTTCGGCAGCGGCACCTCCCACTTGCCGGCCTTCTCTTTCCGCTTCTGTTTGATCATGTTGCTGAGCACCTTGGCGTGGCTCTGGCCCTCTCGGTCGAGCAGGTATGCCGGCACAGCACCGTCGGGCGTCTTCTCCGGATCCTTCTTCTTGGTCTTCTTCTCCTGGTGCGCCTTGAGCGTCTTCTTCATCTGGATCTTCTCAGACATGCGCTCCTTGTTGTACAGCTTGGCCTTGAGGCCGCGCAGTTTCTGCGCCTTCTTGGAGCGCTCGCGCGGCTCTCGCGCCTCCTTCTTGCGCAGCCGCTCGTGGTAGTCGAGCCGGTAGCCATGGCGCTTCCGGTGCAGCTCGATGTGCTCGTTCTGCGGCATGGCGGCAGCGTGTTTCGGCTGCCCGCGCGCGCACACACCAGCTGCCCCTGCAACAGGGTGACGCCCGTGTCAGAGCAGGCAGACGGCCAGTGTGCGCGCGCGGGCAGCTGAAACACGGACTACACACCAAACTCATTTGTTCACATTTTCAGTGCTGGCATATGAGGATAGGTATTGCTCAATCAGCAAAAGTATGTTTCAATTTCATGGAGGAAGGAAATTAAACAGAAGCTGATGTAGTTGGTACTACAGTCTGCTAGGTATGATAAGAAGATGCCAGACAATTATTTTTGAATGAGTGATTTGTCCCAAGATCCATAACCAAAAGCCAGTTAAAATTTATTGATTCAGCTAGCATCTTGCAGGAAGTGTTTAAATCAAAATTTCATCACAATATCACACAACTACAAATTACAAAACACCACATCAACCCAAGGCCGTATAGATGACAACAGCCGGGTGTCTGGCAATCTTCGCCAATACTTGTCTTTGAGGATTTTAGCCTCTAAGGCAGTTTGATATTAACCTTTGGGCTTCTTTAGAGCCTAAAAAAGATCATTGGCTGCACAGAAATGTCTTTTAGATCGACAAAACCTTGACATCCCATGATGTCATCTATCTCCTGAGCCCATGCTATGTGGTTGCATATAAACGTAAGCCCCTCCATCAACCATTGAGATTTGAGAGATCATAAATCTGAGCATAGGCATCAAAACATAATGCTTATCCTTTCATAGTGCAACTTAAGAACCACTGATCAGTTGCTTTGCAGAAGATTCACCAAAAACTATTAAAAATGTATCCAGCTCCAAACTGGAACAGACTATCTGCAGCACTGCTCCCTGATTTGGCACTGGCATTAGTATAGCAAACATGAATCAGACCATACCTAGTGCCAGCATGGCCAGCCTATTTGTGTGCAAGGCGTCTAGGACAAAAACTGTTAACCATGAAGTTATCACATTTACTGATAATTTGAGCATTGTAAAGGGAAAAGGGCATGGAAAAATGAGATGCTACAAAAAAAAATGCCCAGCAAAAAAAGGAAGCCATCCACAAATTAGGTTTGCTTGTTTTCAAACTGCATATTGAATTGAATTATTGAATTATTGAATCGAATTATCCCACAATTATCCTTACCTAGCTCTGCCATATACCCACTCAATCAGTAAGGAATAATGGAAGTTACAGCCTGACTACACCATGCGTTTTCTGCATGTGTTTTTCGCGAATTTGCATGTTTTGCAGAATATCGTTCGAGAAAAAGTTATTATAAATAAACCTTAAATATCTATATACAAGTTAATAAAACGTGTATATCAATTAAAACTTTATATGAAAAACATAACAAAAACGTAATGTCAATTCTTTCTACAACGATATTCCACAAATCACGCACTCGCAAAAAACACATGCAGAAAACGCATAGTGTAGCCAGGCCTTTACAGGCAGTACACCTTTTTCCATATATCCAAGACTTCAAGACTTGATATTGCAAAGCCCTGATTCCCTATCTTTTGATAGCATTCTACTAACTTGCTAATATCAACTACGATTAATTTCCACCTCAAGAATTCCAATTTAATTGCTTAAAATGATTCCTTCTATTCCAGTCGGGCACACTGTGGTATTTCCGATCCATTTATGGAAACGTTTCCATTTTTGGAACAATGTTCCAAAAATGGATACGCCGTTTCCAAAAATAGAAACGATCTGTTCCATAAATGGAGACGCTGTGTGCATCGCTACCTTTAAAGCAAACTGGGCATTGATTGGTGCAATTTGGCATGCGCAGGATGCCACCAATCGACAGCCAGCATTCTAGTTTATGTTCCTGTTCTCCGACTTTCCGATCAGAAAACCGAAAGTTGACTAACGAGGCGATGCTTATAACATGTTGACGTGATAAAAAATTCACACGTTTTTCTAATCGAAAATAATAACATTTATGAATGTTTTGAACAAAAATAACGTTTTTTAACAGACTACTGAAAGACTGACCCATTGATTGGAACAACCACATCACCGGGAACTTCAGTTTTTCATTCATTATCACGCTGCGTTTTCGGTGTACCAGCGGCCTGGTGGTCGTCAATCTTTGATTAAATCGCATGAAAGTTGTTGCAAAGCCCTATTTGGAGACTTAAGTGGGCATTTTATGATATTTCAAATGTGCTGAATATGATCGTAGGCTCGGATCAACGTAAATCTCCGTGCAAATACGTAAAAAGCAGGATGGAAATAAGGTCTGCACCGTCGTCACACCAAATACCATTGCATTCTGACGATGAATTTATTCATTCTAGCTCATGTGTAACATGGATATTAATTTTATATATTGAAATGATATCTACGCTTTATGTATTGCCCACTTTGGACCACATCTGTCCAGTAGTTTCTGGGAAATCTTAGTTTTAGTTGACTTTTGAATGTGCTCAAGTTGCGGCTCGTAAGGTATTATTATCGAACCCGACGTCCAAGGTAACTGCCGAGAGCCGAGATGCTAAGCCAGTCCCAAAACATCAAATTTTTAGTTGCATGTGAATTTTAAAAACACATTTAGGTCGGAGAGGCCATCATAACCAAGCGTTTTCATTGTAGTTAATTCAATCTGATTAGTGTCATGCTATCTTACAAAACACTTACTCTTCACATTTACACCAAGTTTCCTGCAAAATCTTACCTTTAAACACTAGAAAAATCGATGCAAAACCGACTGCCTCAGAGCACACGAACCCGCGCCATTACGATCTACTTTCAAGTGGTCAGCCTCCGCCATGTGGACAATTGCTGCGCAGCGAATACAAAACACAGCAAAATGTGGCAATGAGTGGTGGCCACGAAATTAAAAATATATGTATACATGTAAATACTTTGACATTTGGTGTTGTTTTTTTGTGGTTTACCACACATCGTTTTTATATGAATTATATATTATATGTAAGGGCATCGTATTAGCTAAAATAATGTCCCTTATGTTAAATTGTTAGCTGATTGTTTTGCAGCAGACCATGTTGTCAAATTTAAGCAAATTTTAGCGACGAAAAAAATAGTTGGTTGTCAAGTTCAATGCAGTTTTACAGTACTTAGCCTAACCAAATCTTACCTAACCTACTGATTTTTGCCTCCCGGGCACATATAAATTTAACCTAACCTAACCTAACCTGATTTTTGCCTACCGAGCTTAAAGAAACCTAACCTAACCTGCTGATTTTTGCCTACCAGGCATAAAGAAACCTAACCTAACCTAACCTAACCTACTGATTCTTGCCTACCGAAGATCCTAACCTAACCTAACCTAACCTAACCTACTGATTTTTGCCTACCGGGCATAAATAAACCTAACCTAACCTAACCTAACCTTACCTACTGATTTTTGCCTACCGAAGATCCTAACCTAACCTAACCTACTGATTTTTGCCTACAGGCATAAATAAACCTAACCTAACCTAACCTAACCTAACCTAACCTAACCTAACCTACTGATTTTTGCCTACCGGGCATAAATAAACCTAACCTAACCTAACCTAACCTAACCTACTGATTTTTGCCTACCGCGGGCATAAATAAACCTAACCTAACCTAACCTAACCTACTGATTTTTGCCTTCCGGGAGAGAGAAAGTTACTTGCAGGAATAGATTGCAAGCAATAGTAAATCAAATATTTTCAGGTTAAGTGGTTATGCATCAGGCTTCAGGCCTTCGGCCTGAAGCCAGATACACAACCACTTAACCTAAAAATATTTGATTTACTATTGCCTGTAATCTCTCCTAAGGCATTGCCTACGGCAATGCACTGCTTCGCTCCGAGCACGAGGCAATACTTAACCTTACAGGTTGCGCTAGAACACCATTTTCCTCCAAAAATGTTACATTCAGACATTATATATCCGATAGTCTACAACCTTTACCACTGTTTTCTTCCTACCACGGAATATTGAAGGCTGAAGTAGCATAATATAACCAGAAATGCCACTTATGATGCGAACTGAGCAAATTTAGTACAAAAGCAGACATTTTAAGGTGCTGCAAAATCCCGAAAAAAATACTAAGGAACCGGCACAAAGTGCTGATGACTGATTGAAACCTCATAAAAATATAGGTTTATTTCTTCATCAATATTATCATAGCTATAATGAGCCTAAAAAATACTTAGCTTCGCTATGAATATCAATTATCAAACAGTCCTACCAGCACTACCAGAAACTACCAGTACTTGACCAGTACTACCTCATTAAATGCAAAAGTTGAAATGTTGCTCATAACAATTTTTTCTTGAAATATCACAATCATGTGAAAATAATCCCCCTCCCCCACCCAAAACCCCGATTCCCCACATTTCCCCTAGTGTGTTGGGCTAAAAATAGGTACCAGTACTACCAGGACTGTCAGTACTTGACCAGTACTACCTCATTAAATGGAAAAGTTCAATTGTTGTTTATAACAAAAATATTTTTCTTTTCAAATATCACCGCCATGTGAAAACATTCCCCCCTCCCCCCACCCAAAACCCCGATTTCCCACATTTCCCCTAGTATGTTGGGCTAAAAAAAGGGTACTATATTTCTGCGTAGATGTTTCGCAACAGCTGACTGCAGGTTCTCACGACAGCTGACATGTTGAAAACAAACTGCGGGTGGAAATCGTGGTGAGATCACGGTAAGTTAGTTATAGCTGGAAATTGTTGGTCAGATTAACTGCATGACACAGTATTGTTACTAAACGCGAGGTTCTCTATAGAATGATGTCTATATTATAGGAATTAACTAATGTCTGAACCGGGACGGGTGGCCGGTATGACCCACATTTAAGCTCAGTTTGCACACATTTGAACTTCAGCGTTTCTATTTTTGGAACATCGGCGTTTCCATTTTTGGAAACTAAGTCTCCATAAATGGATACGATTCAGGAGCATTTTAAAGACGTGAATTTTAATGCATACGACAGCTTTCCATGCAAGAAGACAAGTGCTTTTGGTGTATCTGAGCTTGTTTTACGCGAAACAGTTGTTATACATCGAATCCAGCCACCCTTGGCAAGAAAATATGTGCGGATATGTTAGCGTTTCTATTTATGGAACGAGCGTTTCCATTTTTGGAACAGAAGAGTAGTCAAAATTGGAAACGTTTCCAATAATAGAAACGTCTCCATAAATGAATCGGAGATACCACAGTGCGCCCGACTGATTCGGTAGTCTGTAGTTTGTCCCAGCTAGATGTAAAAACGTGTGCCTAACCGAATCGAAGAGAAAGAATAAAACATCATAAGACTAATACACGGAAAAAACGGCTGAAGGCGTCTTCAACAATAAATAAACGGACAAATTCATGAGGAACATACCTCTCCTGGACCACCACAATCGTAAAAGGAAGTTGACGGCCTGTTTCCAGAGTTAGCAAGTGTAGTAATATATTTCTATTTATTTTTTTTTCGCTAGGGATTTTTAGTCATATATGCTATATTTGTAAAAAACTGGAAAATTTAATTTATTTAATTTAGAATTGAAATTAAAAAAATAAAAACACCTCCTTTGCATGAAAATTAAGTAAATATCTTTTCATGGAATGTAGTAAAACACTGATATGTCACTATAATGTTTTACTTGGGTATATCTGTGAAAACTCTATCTACCTAAATTTGGTACGGACTTCTCTTTCCAGAAGAGCGAGCCCGATAATCGCTCTGCAGCCTCGGGAAAATCCAGGAAGATCAAAAGTTAGTTTTCATCCCTACTAAAACAAACCAAAAATATGTCGATATCGCGAGATCGGTACTTAAACACCACCGTGTCAGAGGCAGAGCTGCCATTTTCCTCCGATCCCCTCCCAGGAACATCAAGGCCCAAGCAACATTTGCTGTCGGCTAGCAAGCAAAGGCAGCACGCAACCCTCCTCTCGCTCAAAATCTTTCTCTATCATAGGTAGTAGGTATAGGTAGGTACCTACTAGGTAGGTATAGTGAAAAACCAACTAAAAAAAGATGCACCGTGTCGTGTCTGACATCGGTCTCATTTTAGTGAGTTTCTTAAATCGGCTATAACTGCGTTGCTGTTGTGGACAATGAACATGCATCTCATTCCTGACTGTGTACAGGGGCGGATCCAAGGGGGGGGGGTCACATGGGTCATGGCCCCCCCTTGAGGCCCGGGGGCCCAAAGACCTTCCAGGGGCACCACCGGCCTATCAGGGGTATCACAGTCCTGACAGGGGCACCACAGGACCGCCAGGGGCACCACAGGCCTAGCAGGGACACCACGGGCCTGGTGCCCCTGGGCCCTGACAGGACTGTAACGCCCCTGACAAGCCTGAAGTGTCCCCGGCAGGCACGTGGTGCCCCTGACAGGCCTGAGGCGCCCCTGCAAGGCCGGTGGTGCCCCTGGCAGGCCTGTGGTGTCCATGGCAGGCCTGTGGTGCCCTTGCTAGGCCTCTGGTGCCCCTGACAGGCTTGTAATGCCCCTGGAAGGGCTGTGGTGCCCCTGGGCCCTGACAAGCCTGAGGTGCCCCTGACAGGCCAGAGGTGCCCTTGCTAGGCCTGTGGTGCCCCTGGCAGGCCTCTGGTGCCCCTGACAGGCTTGCGGTGCCCTTGGAAGGACTGTGGTGTCCCTGGGCCCTGACAAGCCTGAGGTGCCCCTGACAGGCCCGTGGTGCCCTTGTTAGGCCTGTGGTGCCCCTGGCAGGCCTCTGGTGCCCTTGCTAGGCCGCTGGTGCCCCTGGCAGGCCTCTGGTGCCCTTGCTAGGCCGCTGGTGCCCCTGGCAGGCCTCTGGTGCCCCTGCGCCCGGAGAGGACTGGTGCCCCTGAAAAGTCTGAAGTGCCCCTCGGCAGGCCCGTCGTGCCCCTGACATGCCCAAGGTGCCCCTGCGAGGCCGGTGGTGCCCCTGGCAGGCCTCTGGTGCCCCTGGCAGGCCTCTGGTGCCCCTGGCAGGTCTGTGGTGCCCCTGGCAGGTCTGTGGCGCCCCTGGCAGACCTGTGTTGAATGGTGCCCCTGCTAGGTCGCTGGTGCCCCTCACAGACCTGTGGTGCCGCTGGGCCTTGACAAGCCTGAGATGCCTGGCTATGACAGGCTCGTGGTGCCCCTGATAGACCAGTGGTGCCCTTGCTAGGCCTGTAGTGCCCCTGGCAGGCCTCTGGTGCCCCTGCTACCCCTGCGCCCTGAGAGGACTATGGTGCCCCTGAAAAGCCTGAAGTGCCTCTCGACAGGCCCGTGGTGCCCCTGGGCCCTGACAGGCCCAAGTTACCCCTGCGAGGTCGGTGGTGCTCCTGGCAGGCCTCTGGTGCCCCTGGCAGGTCTGTGGTGCCCCTGGCAGGCCTGTGTTGACTGGTGCCCCTGCTAGGCCGCTGGTGCCCCTCACAGGCCTGCGGTGCCCCTGGAAGGACTGTGGTGCCCCTGCCCCTAGGGGTGCTCATGGGCCCAACAGGCCCGTTGTGCCCCTGACAGGCCTGTCGTGTATACTTGCTAGACCTGTGGTGCCCCTGCTTCCTGGCAGGCCTGTGGTGCCCCTGGCGGGCCTGTGGCGCCCCTACAAGGCCGTAGGTGCCCCTGACAGGTTTGTGGTGTCCCTGGAAGGACTTTGGTGCCCCTGACAAGCCTGAAGTGTCAAGGACAGACCCTTTAGACGCCAGGGTCAAGTTCGTCTGACTGACAACGATTTGCTTACCTGATAACGTTCCTGGTAAGTACTCATTACTCAGCGTCCACAACATATATACAGGGTTGGGCAGATAAATTGGGACAAAATACATATTTGCATTCAGAACGCCGTAGCTTAGAAATTTGTAAACGTAGGCATTTCAAATTTGGATCACATATTGTCACACCAATTTCACACATTTATCACCAAATATGGTCACCGTGGTCCACCTGCATCAGTCCTTATCGGTGCCTGGACTGGCCGCACGCGCGGCGAGATCTCCCGTCTGAAATGGCTCGTAATTGTAGCCAACTGGCACTGCTGAGGCTCGCCACAGTCACATGGGGACGTTCGTTAGACTCACCCGCAAAAACGCCCCAGCAACCAGAACTTGTGTGGGCTGAGGTTTAATGAGGAAGGGGGCATTTTCCCTTGGGTACAAATTGCGGGATCCTCCGTTTCAGGAGATTTTGTATTTAATTTACTGTATGCCGGGGAGCTGACTCCTCGAAACGTCTGTATACTTAGCGAATTATTGACATTGACGTTCAGCGACAGATTCGCGGACCCCTAGGATTCCGCTGAAAATCCCTACATAGGGGTAACTTGGGGCGTAGAGTCGCGTGGTGCAATCCGTTAAACCCTACACCTAATACTTTTCCCGCTAGAGGGCAGCAAAGTTCCAGCGACAGATTCGCCGGACCCCTAGGAATCCGCTGAAAATCCCTATATAGGGGTAACTTGGGGCGTAGAGTCGCGTGGTGCAATTCGTTAAACCCTACACCTAATACTTTTCCCGCTAGAGGGCAGCAAAGTTCCAGCGACAGATTCGCCGGACCCCTAGGATTCCGCTGAAAATCCCTACATAGGGGTAACTTGGGGCGTAGAGTCGCGTGGTGCAATCCGTTAAACCCTACACCTAATACTTTTCCCGCTAGAGGGCAGCAAAGTTCCAGCGACAGATTCGCCGGACCCCTAGGAATCCGCTGAAAATCCCTATATAGGGGTGTCTTGGGGCGTAGAGTCGCATGGTGCAATCCGTTAAACCCTACATCAAATACTTTTCCCGCTAGAGGGCAGCAAAGTTCCAGCGACAGATTCGCCGGACCCCTAGGATTCCGCTGAAAATCCCTACATAGGCGTAACTTGGGGCGTAGAGTCGCGTGGTGCAATCCGTTAAACCCTACACCTAATACTTTTCCCGCTAGAGGGCAGCAAAGTTCCAGCGACAGATTCGCCGGACCCCTAGGAATCCGCTGAAAATCCCTATATAGGGGTAACTTGGGGCGTAGAGTCGCGTGGTGCAATTCGTTAAACCCTACACCTAATACTTTTCCCGCTAGAGGGCAGCAAAGTTCCAGCGACAGATTCGCCGGACCCCTAGGATTCCGCTGAAAATCCCTACATAGGGGTAACTTGGGGCGTAGAGTCGCGTGGTGCAATCCGTTAAACCCTACACCTAATACTTTTCCCGCTAGAGGGCAGCAAAGTTCCAGCGACAGATTCGCCGGACCCCTAGGAATCCGCTGAAAATCCCTATATAGGGGTGTCTTGGGGCGTAGAGTCGCATGGTGCAATCCGTTAAACCCTACATCAAATACTTTTCCCGCTAGAGGGCAGCAAAGTTCCAGCGACAGATTCGCCGGACCCCTAGGATTCCGCTGAAAATCCCTACATAGGCGTAACTTGGGGCGTAGAGTCGCGTGGTGCAATCCGTTAAACCCTACACCTAATACTTTTCCCGCTAGAGGGCAGCAAAGTTCCAGCGACAGATTCGCCGGACCACTAGGATTCCGCTGAAATAGGGGTAACTAAGTTCCCGGACCCCTGGGATTCCGCTAAAAATCACTACATAGGAGTAACTTGGGGCGTAGAGTCGCGTGGTGCAATCCGTTAAACCCTAAACCTTATACTTTTCCCGCTAGAGGGCAGCGAAGTTCCAGCGACAGATTCGCCGGACCCCTAGGATTCCGCTGAAAATCCCTACATAGGCGTAACTTGGGGCGTAGAGTCGCATGGTGCAATCCGTTAAACCCTACATCAAATACTTTTCCCGCTAGAGGGCAGCAAAGTTCCAGCGACAGATTCGCCGGACCCCTAGGATTCCGCTGAAAATCCCTACATAGGCGTAACTTGGGGCGTAGAGTCGCGTGGTGCAATCCGTTAAACCCTACACCTAATACTTTTCCCGCTAGAGGGCAGCAAAGTTCCAGCGACAGATTCGCCGGACCCCTAGGAATCCGCTGAAAATCCCTATATAGGGGTAACTTGGGGCGTAGAGTCGCGTGGTGCAATTCGTTAAACCCTACACCTAATACTTTTCCCGCTAGAGGGCAGCAAAGTTCCAGCGACAGATTCGCCGGACCCCTAGGATTCCGCTGAAAATCCCTACATAGGGGTAACTTGGGGCGTAGAGTCGCGTGGTGCAATCCGTTAAACCCTACACCTAATACTTTTCCCGCTAGAGGGCAGCAAAGTTCCAGCGACAGATTCGCCGGACCCCTAGGAATCCGCTGAAAATCCCTATATAGGGGTGTCTTGGGGCGTAGAGTCGCATGGTGCAATCCGTTAAACCCTACATCAAATACTTTTCCCGCTAGAGGGCAGCAAAGTTCCAGCGACAGATTCGCCGGACCCCTAGGATTCCGCTGAAAATCCCTACAT